GGGCGGGTAGTGTTCAGTTAACCTGATCAAGCATTCAAAACTCATCAAGAGTGTGCATCCAAGGATACAACAATGGTTATCCATCAAAAGGTTGAGGAAAGTCAAAACCACAAAGGTTAACCTTCGTCTATCATCAACGTGCATCAATTAATGATACCCCAATGAGTATCCCTCGCACGTCAAAAGGTCAACAAAGGACGATACAACAATGGCTATCCCTCATTTGCTAAAGACTCAGGCAGTCACAATCACTTCCAACAAATCAAAAACAACGCAAAGATCAACGACTTGTTCAAAATGAAAAAAATACGAATAAGAAAGAAACAAAAATCCCTGCTAAGTCGAAACTTGAAAACAAGTCGCTTAGGCAAAAATTGGGGCATCCCGCTGGACTTCCAAATCAAAATTCAAAAGAATTTGTCCAGGCAAAAAGTGGGGAAAGCAAGAATTAAAATTGAAAAGCCTAAAAGGTGAGAAAATGATTACCAACGAAAATCCTCATCAAAGAACAAAGTCGTTTGATCAGACACCAAAGGCAAAGAAGTTAGTGACTGTCGTGTCCAAGAAACCACAGTGGTTCCTCAATCATTGCAAACTCTTCTTGAGAGACAAATGCTTGTATCGGGTCAACTGAACGTAGGAATGGAGAACATCGTGGAGAATGGGTGGGCACCAAATAATTTTGAGCCTTAAATCCTTTTTTCTAAAAAACCGTGAACCAGGCCACGTTACAACCCATAAAAGTCCTAACTGAAGCATGGGTCAATTCGAAAGCGTGCTACAACGAGATAGCGTTTAACTGACTCCTAAGAGGTAAGTTTGAATATCTGTGTTGGCATCATCTGCTTGCATTATCTTTCATAAAAAAGAATTTGCAAATGTTTCTCTCTAGCTAGTGACTCGTTCACCACAGAGTTGTGACACCATTTCATTCAAAGTTTTTTCAAACTTCAAGACTTACATATGTGTTGCATTAGAATTATCATTCTCATAATAAACATTCTTATGCATACAAAACAACTGACTGACATCAAGTAAGTTTTCACAATGAACAACCGGTAAAGAGCTCAATCTTGTCAGAGAAGAGAGGCTTGAATACCCCGTTGAAGCAAGAATCAGCTGCCACAAGAGAAATGACTTATCCAGTAGCATGTTGACCGGTGATTCTGTCAAGAGAAATCATCTTGGTACTCCACAGTCTGAGTACCATTCATGGATGAAGTTAGCAGAGCCTGTCAATCTGGGGCAATCAAGTCGAGAGTTGATCTCTCCAAGATCAGCCAAATCTGGGGCATCCCCTCAAAGCCGTCAATCAGAGGCTATCACGTCGATAAATCTCTTCAAGCTCGATCAATCAGAGGCTATCACGTCGAGAGATCTATTCAGAATTCATTCAACCTGGGGCAGTTACGTCGAGATTCGACAAATCTCTCCAAGAAAGCTATAATCAAGAACAGTTTGTTTCGTGGCTCAAGACATTGGGGCAGGCCACCTCATATCGTATTGTGGCACGAATCTTCTGGTCTTCTATTCAACCTAGATCTTCCCAGAAGACAGGGGCATTCCTCATCCGTACTTAGTTGCTCGAGTCAATTATGTTGCACAATACTACAATCAGCTGAAAGCATCATGACAATCACCCTGACCTAGCCAGTGCACAAAGCTGCCTTCATCTACCACAGACAATTTCAGATCTGATTCCCCAAATGAATTCAGAAATCTAGCATCGTCTTGTAACTCAGCACACGCAAGTGCATCCTCAGTGAAGTTAATCAAGAGCATCCCCAGTAAAGCTAAACCGGGGCATTCGCATAGCTGAACCGGGGCATTCGCATAGCTGAACCGGGGCATTCGCATAGCTGAACTGGGGCATCGCATAGCTGAACCGGGGCATTCGCAGAGCTAAACCGGGGCATTCGCAGAGCTCAGCCGGGGCACTCGTAAGTGTCCGCGCCCATCTCTTATTCCCCAAGTGATTCATGAGACAATTCCCCAGTATGCGTAAACTTGGGACATGTAACCAGAGATTCACATGGTGTTCAGTATCCATTCTTCGGCATATTCACTTCTATCACTCCCCCAACAGTTCAGGATGTTTGGAAGTCTGGCCAGGTTATCTCTTCCCAACGGTATGATTCAGAATCCAGCATCGTACTTGAAGACTCGTTTCATCGGCAACTTAATCTCCAAAAGAGTCATCAACAATCTTAGGTCTTCAAGAGCTCCCCAGTGTGTACTCTTATCAGTATCCCCAGCAATCTTTAGTACTGCAGGCTTCCAACGCCGGTATATATTGACATCCCCAGTGATGAACAAATGGCTCCCAGCAAGCCTTCTCTTATCCCCATGAAGTTTATTTCTTCGCATTGCATATAGTTACCACTGCATAACATTTCATCCTCAAAGCGCGTAGCTGATCCATCAGAGTGGATCTTTGTGTCAAAAGAAATTCAAACATACATACAAAGCATAAGCCAGATCAGGTACCTTACAAAAAAAAGACCTGAATTATTCAAGGACAACAATACGTCCCTACAGGAGGGTATCATGCCCAAAATCCCAAATCAGTGACCTTCACCTTTTCAATGCCAAACAAAATCAACACACTTTGTCATTCTAAACCCAGTTCTTGTCTGGTAGTCAGTTCCCTAAACACCCGTCCGTGTCCATCCCTAAACACTCGTCTGTGTCCATTCCTAAGCACTCGTATGTGTCAAGTTTCCTAAACACCCATCCGGGTCAGTTATTCAAACACTCGTCCGTGTTTATACTTTTTGATACTCGTCTGTATCTTCTTTCAATACTCGTCCGTATTGAATCAAACACTCGTCCATGTTTATACTTTTTGATACTCGTCCGTATCTTCTTTCAATACTCGTCCGTATTGAATCAAACACTCGTCCGTGTTTATACTTTTGATACTCGTCCGTATCTTCTTTCAATACTCGTCCGTATTGATTCAAACACTCGTCCGTGTTTATACTTTTTGATACTCGTTCGTATCTTCTTTCAATACTCGTCCGTATTGAATCCAACACTCGTCCGTGTGTTACTTTTTGATACTCGTCCGTATCTTCTTTCAATACTCGTCTGTATTGAATCAAACACCCGTCCGTGTTTAACCTTTTGATACCCGCCTGTATCTTCTTTCAATACTCGTCCGTATTGGATCAAACACTCGTCCGTATCTTCTTTCAATACTCGTCCGTATTGATTCAAACACTCGTCCGTGTTTAAACTTCTTGATGCTCGTCCGTGTCGCTTATCTAAACAATCATCATGTCATAACCCATGTTCCCTTATTCGAACCTGAGATCGCCTCTTGGCTAGGTTCTTCCTTCAAATCATCGTCGAACCTGAGATCGCCTCTTGGCTAGGTTCTTCCTTCAAATCATCATCGAACCTGAGATCGCCTCTTGGCTAGGTTCTTCCTTCAAATCATCGTCGAACCTGAGATCGCCTCTTGGCTAGGTTCTTCCTTCAAATCACCGTCGAACCTAAGATTTCCTTGGCTAGGTTCTTCCCTCAAACCTTTGTCGAACCTGAGATCGCCTCTTGGCTAGGTTCTTCCTTCAAATCTTTGTCGAACCTGAGATTGCCTCTTGGCTAGGTTCTTACTTCAAATCATCGTCGAACCTGAGATCGCCTCCTGGCTAGGTTCTTCCTTCAAATCACCGTCGAACCTGAGATTGCCTCTTGGCTAGGTTCTTCCCTCAAACCTTCGTCGAACCTGAGATCGCCTCTTGGCTAGGTTCTTCCCTCAAATCATCGTCGAACCTGAGATCGCCTCTTGGCTAGGTTCTTCCCTCAAATCATCGTCGAACCTGAGATCGCCTTTTGGCTAAGTTCTTTTCATATACTTTATCTTAGAACCTGAGATCGCCCTTTGGCTAGGTTCTCTGTCAAATCACTCTCATGTGTCACCCTCGGATCGTAGGTCGCCCGTAGACCTCGTCCGCTGTCTTTTCATACCAACCATTTGTCTTGTATTGGCATCAAGCCACGTTACAAGTCCAGTCTCTGTCTCTTCATTGAAAATAAATTTCTTTTCCCCAATTGATAACACAAAATAAATAAATAAATAAAACACTCTTTCTCCCTCAGGACAAATTTTTTGGCATTGATATTTAATCATCTCCAACCTCGAACTTCCGAAAGGCACGCGCCAATCGTACTTTCAGGTTTAAGACGATTAAATAGGGGCAGCTGTAATACCCCAAATTTGTCCTACCCTTTTACTTCCTATCTGGCTTACGCATTTTTGCATTTTTCTCACATTAGGTCATCTAAACACATCATGCATCATTAATCAATAAATTGGCATAAGATCATGGATTTTGAGGAATAAGGGTTGGTGTATGGCTTTAAGGCTCCCATCTTCGCACAAGCTTGTTTCAGTTGATTTCTCCATTAACAATTTGTTTGAAGCTAGGTTTTCATTTCATGGACCTTATCATCATCAAGCTATGAGGCTATTCTTTTCTTCTCAATGTCAAGTTGCAAGGTTTTATGAGACGAAGCTAAAAATCAGGGTTATACATTTTCATATTTGAGCTTGTCAGCATTCTACCTGAGGTTCATTCCATATCAAGGTATTCGCATGTCTCATCTTTCATATTCATCTGCAGAGAATCCCTCAGGGCATAGTCATTATCATCTATTGAGAAGGGGTCCAAGACGTCGTTGTTCTAGTGCTCATATAGTCGGGACATGGTACAAGATGTTGATTGTGATCAAGGTGTCATTATTTCAAATGCTTATTGCTTGACATGCAAATTTGGTTTAGATTGGAAAATTGAATTGAATTAGGGATTCACTGAAGCTGTAGTTTGATTAGAATTCATTCATTAATATTTGAAGTGGATTTGGAGAAAATCAAAATTCTTAAATATTTGCGTGGTTTTTCGTGGAATTCAAACCACAAATATGAAAAAGCATGCAGCATAATTCTATATGACATCATTATTCACTTGAAACCAACTCTCGGTGACAGAAAGGCAATGCTTCACGCAATTGTCCTATCCTTGTATCCCCTTAATTGGTTCTTCACTTTTCTTTATTATACAGATGTTGCATCCGTTACTGCTGTGCTGGCCATGTATCTTGCAAGTTTGGAAAAGAATTACTGGTTAAGTGCATTGGTAAGATTGGAGCCTTTGCAGTTGTTGTTCGACAAACAAATATTATATGGGTGCTTTTTGTTGCATGCATTAGTATAATAGATATTTCTCTAATGCATGGAAAAGGCAATGTAAGAACAATCAAGTCAGATGTATCAGTTGAGCATGATTTCACATATGTTACTGGTAGAAGCGCAAAGGGTTTAAATCTTAAAAGGAGAAAGTCTGTCAAAACCATATCATAACCAAATACCCAACACCATTTACAATATCCAAAAATATACTACAAAAAACAAGAAATACAATTAAAAGTGCATATATTGATTCTCATCATCGCTTTTTGTGTGGCCTCGTCGTGTTTGAAATGCAACCTTGTTGCTTCCATCTTCATTACCTTCTTTATGACCAAACCGGCGTATTGTAACTTGCCATGGTCTATGCCTTTTTTTCCAAAGCAATCCTGAACATTTACACAACAAAAAGAAACAGTTATTATCAATTCCAAAACAGCCCTGCACATAACAAACTCTAACAACCCCTAACCAAAATTCCAGCCAACAAACTTCTAACCAAAAAAAACTTACAGCAACATGACCTGTAATTGAATAACAAACATAATATATAACCTCCTAACCGCTTCTAACAGCATTACCCCAACCATATTCAGTAACCAATTCCTAACAACCCCTAACCAAATTCTAACCACCTAACAGAATCTCTAACACTGCATAACAGAATAACAAACAGCATAACTAACTCAACTAGTAACAAACTCCTAACTAATTTCTAACATTATCCTAACAGAATTAACTAACCACATAACCAACTCATGGCTTATTTTACAACAAATTTCCAGCATATATACATAATGGGGATTGACAGAAAAGGAGGATATTCAACACAGAGAAAAAGAAATTCTTTACCTCTCAATCATCTCATTCTGGAACGGGCAGAAGAACTCACCAAAAAAATTATCTTAGAAATCTCTTTATGCTCTCTCTTCCATCCTTAACCTTGAATTCATTCTTCATCTCCATACATCATTACCTTCACACTTCTAGAAAATCACCCCCATCCTCATCTTCATCTAATTTTTTTATCTCTTCATAAACAACCCGCAAGAACGGTTTCTCAACATAGCTTCAGTCATCACTACATCTGTAACCTCCCTTACTACAACAAAAATGCAGATTTCAGAAGAATGTGCAGGAAAATCAAGAAAAACTCAAGAAAAATTCACCTCTAAATAAGTCTCTAAGAAGTTTCCTCTTCAACGCTCAAGATTGTTGAATTCCTCAAGAATCTCCATCTTCAATCTTCAAGGTTTGCTTCAATCTTTATCTTCCTCTGGTATTCCTTCGTATAATAACACCTCTGCTCCAGTATAGTCATTAATCTAGCAAGCACAACAACAATTTTGAGCATCATAACCAAAAACCGCATCATATTCGTTACTGTGTTTATTTCTTAGTACCCCTGTCCTCTCTGCTTCAACAACACACCGCCACAATCAATGCAACAAAATCGCACGAGGTACACAGAGATTCGAAATCTCAGGAACACAGCGAAGAAGTAGAAGAAGAAGATCGAGCAGAAGAATATCAAGGGATATCATGCCTGAATGGATTTCTTGATTTATATTTTGTCAACAGCAACTACGAAACACTGTCAGGGACTTAGGGTTTACGTGTTTTTGGATAAAAATTAGAGAGAACAAAATAAGATTGATGAAAAAGGATTCAGGATTTAGAACACTCACTCAGAGACAAAGAGATTGGTGTATATGGTTTGAGGTTTCCAATACAGATGGTGGTGGTTGTGGCCGTTATTTACCATTTGTGAGAAAAAACGATTTGGATAAGACGAAGTCAGAGAAGAGGCGTGAAGATGTGGCGAAGTGAGGTGTTAAGTCGAAAATGAATCCCGGCGGAGGCGATGGGTAAATAGGGATGATCGCCGTTCATAATTTACAGAAGAAGAAGAATATCATCCTAGAAGAACGAAGAGAGTATAATGGCGGCATGATTTACGGCGAAGACGGAATCGGGAACCGGAAAGATGAGAGCTGAGCACGGCGGATGAAGAAACGGAAGCGAGGAGGCGATGTAAAGATGATGAACAGGGGGTCGGGAGAGATGGAGATCAGCGAGGATGATGATGACCGCGCCGCCGAGTTGTCTGAAGAAGCGGAGGAGGTTGTGTCTGTCGGCGCCGTTCGTGCTGTTCTGCGGAGAAGAAGAGAACGACTCTCTCTAAAACCCTATTCTCTTTTCAATTTTCACATCTTTTCTTTTTTTAGTTTTAATTATTGTACAATTTTAATTTTGTTTTATTATTATTTTTTAATTCAAATTAATAATAAAGAAAACTAAATTGATAATTAAACATATGTTAGAAAAATGAGGAATTAATTAGACTGGGCCTCACTTTTTACTTTAGGCCCGTGTTGTTGTTTTTTAGCCTGAAGAAATTGAACAAAAAACTCTTTTTGGGAAAATTACTGCACTACACCCCTGAATTTAGCTCATACCTCCTGACTCTTCTAATTTTTCTTTTTTACTATTTTAGTTTTCTTCTAGTTTAATTTTCTCTCTCAATTGATAATAAAAATAATAGAATATTTTAGAATAGAATTTCTTTTAGAATTTCGATTAGAATTTTTTTCTATTTTATTTTTTATATTCGATAATCATTTTTATTGCCACTTTCTAGTCAAGATTTTTGTAGCATCGACATAACTCTTGCAATGTGGAATGCTCGAGGTTAATTCTTCAATCACCCTTTCGAGGAAACTTTGGTAGAATTTTCTTATCACTTGCATGGCGTCGAAGAGGCAACGGACCTTCTCCGTTCGGTATCGTCACAACCCTATTTTATCCTTCATTTCAGTATTTTATCGCAATTCAAACATACTAACATTATGTAGAATTCCTTCAAAATTCTAACTTTAGGTCTAACGATACATAATACCATTAGGTTTAGAAGTAGGCTAGTCTCCTTTTTGACTTTTCTTTCTCCTTTTGCATTCGCACCTAAAACTAAAACTTCTTTTCTTTCAAAATTCAAAACACTTTAAAACTATTGATGAGAATCAAGCTTTTGCTTAGTACGAGAAATGATAAGCGGGTCTCTTCTCGATCTTATTGTTCTTCATCTAAAGCTTAGGTGTGGTTCAATTCTCAAAAACTCCTTTCATGGCTAGGTAGAAAATGGCTAATATCTCCCTCTTGAGGTCGACTAGTCATTATCTGCAACAAAAATACAAAACATATTCAAATCTTTTGTGCGCTCGAGCACTTTTCTTTAAAACCCTTTTCAGGTAAGGACACGATTAATTTACTTCTGTGCCAACGCATAAGTCTCCAAAAGTCGAGCTGCGGCAGAAGGCGGGATTAACTTCGTCCACAAAAAACATCTACAACAAAATATAAACCAACTCAAATCTTTTGTGCACTCGAGCACCTTTTCTTTTAAAACCTTTTCAGGTAAGGACACGATTAATTTACTTCTGTGCCAACGCATAAGTCTCCAAAGGTCGAGCTGCGGCAGAAGGCGGAATTAACTTTGTCCATAAAGAACACAAACAAAAAACATATGAGCCGAACTACGGTAGCTCTGATTCCTCAAAAAGGATACGTAGGCATTGGGGTAGGGCCCAGGCGAGCACAATTTTATTTCCCCTACATTCTTTTTCTCCTTTCTTTTGCATGCATTCCTTTCAGTAGTATAGTAAACAGCAAGCATAGATTAAACACACCCATAAGATAGATAACAAGAGTGGATACCGTAGAGTACTACGGGCGTGTGGGGTGCTAATACCTTCCCCTCGCGTAACAGACTCCCTTACCCGATCTCTCGGTCGCAAGACCGTGACTTCTACCTTCTCAGGTTTTCTCGATGTTTACCTTTCCCTACATGTGGGATAAAAGACGTTCGATGGCGACTTCATTGTTTTGATGATTTTCAACCGGTTGTTTCAACCGACTGAGGACTTTCGTTGTCGAATATTCACCTTTAATCGACAAAGGGTAAAATCTAGACCACATAGGCGTGTCGAGGTACGGACGCAGCCTACCAACCAACGAAAGCATAATGTTTCTCACATTGACGAGCAACATCTTTGCCCGACAGGGACACCTCGATCGAGCTCCGATGTCGAAGTACCCCAACATGGCAGAACACCCAGCTCGCGATGGGTAGTTCACGCCACGAGCGTAGGATCCCGATCATACGCTCGTCCCGCAGAATGCCACTCCACGCCCTCGACATATTTCAAAGTGTGTCGAACCGATGGAAGGGTCGAACAGGTATCTCCGCGCGAAAACATAAACTTCGTGAAAAATTCATAACGACCACAACAATGGTCGGGCACATACATCCAAAAGTTACCAATTACTCATTAAATAAACAGTTAATAGACAACAAAATTATAATATGCCGACTACAAAGGCCGACGTTGTTCAAATTTACAATTTAGGCACGACGGCCTCAAAACTAAAAGAATGATAGCGAGGACGCAGGCCCTAAAACAACAACGGACACGCAAGCCCTAAACTTAATACAATCAAACTTCATCCTCCCCGTCGCTGCTATCTGGAGGAGAAAGGATCTTCTCGTCAACAACTTGGTTAAATGGCCCCGCCCCCTCGACCACTAACTTGACCCCAGTGTTCAAGATCTTCAATTGCTCGACGGCAGTGTTGAAGCCGTAGCCAAGGGTATCAACCACATCCTGCTCGAGAAAGTGAATACGAGTAATCAAATCCTCCTTGGTCGCCATGTTCTTCTCTGTCTCGGTCTCATCCTCGGCCGGCGCGGTCATCCCTTCTAGCTCCAAATTACGAGCGACCAGACGCTCGTTCTCCCTAGTGGCCGTCTCCAGCTGAGGCCTCAGCTCGTTTAAATCCTTGAGAAGCTGAACTTGGGCCTCGAACCTTGACTCATGGTTGAGGATATCACCCTTCAACTTCTCATTCTTGACCTTCAGCTTGTGGATTTTGGCGTAGGCCATGTCGAGGGAGGCTTGAGCACTCGAGGACTCATCATTGAGCGAAAGGGCCGTCTCGAGCACCCTCATCGCAACAGCCACGTCCTTGGCCAAGTGTTTATGGCGATTCTCCTTGTCTTCAGTCAAGATGGTCTCCCTCTCCTTCTCGTGCACGCTGAGGGAGTCCTCCTCGCTGAAGAGGTCGCGGTTTAAATAGCAAGGAGGCAATACAAAAAACCCCGTAGACGTTTTTTCACCCTTGGACGGTACGCCCGCAGCGTTATCTGCACACTTCCTCTTAGCCACGGGCTCGTTGACCGGAATCTGGGCCGAATCAGTAGAAGCTGGATTTTTTGAGGAGGAAGGGGAATCACTAGCCCGACCAGAAGACTTGGCCTGTTCCTAAAACTGGGCGACTCTGCTTCGTGGTCTAGAAGTGGATGCATTTTTGGGCCTCAGTTTCAAAAAACGCTCGGAAAGAGATGCCATTCAACCTGCAATCAAAGAGAATCGTTAGTCGAGTTGGAAAAATCAAAAACAGAGCGGACACGTCCCCGCATAAAAAGGAGCAAAGTAACAGCTACTCCTTACCCAAAAGCCTCATGGCTTCCCCATTCGAGGAGCACTCGAGCAAGACCTTATTATTGATCAACCTATTGACTAAGAGATACTCCCCCTCCTCGTCAAACAACAGGTTACTGTTCACGTCCACGCACTTCGCAGGGGAGAAACCTTTAACATAAGCCGATAACTTCTCGTACGAAAGCTGGTCTTGGGCATCCAAATCCCCGGGTTTCACTACATAGTATTCATGCCTTTGCTCATAATGCCTCCACTGCCATTCGAGCGGGAATCTGGCCATAAGTCGGGTAACTGGCCGCCCGTCCTCCACCTTTTCCACTCGGGTATAGAGAGAATCTATGACCGTGTCCGTCATGGGCTTCACGATGAAGTACCTCTCTTTAAAATTTCGGACGGACTCTAGATAAGGCCGTAAGAGTTTCGCGAACTGTTTGAAGGATACCCACGCCTGCCTCCCTCAGACAGATTGTCTTTGTAGGTCAAAGATGCGAAAGAAAAGGGGCAGCATGGCGCCTATCCCCAGGTATTGGCAGACGATCTGAAACGCTCGCATAAACGCCAACGCGTTTGGATGAAGTTGGGAAGGCGCCAACTGAAGCCATTGGAAAACCCCGACCTGGAAATCGTTGAAGGGCAGGCGCATCCCTGCCTCTTTGAAAGCAAATTTGTACATGGGGAACCGTTTTCCCAGATACGTCGAGCATATCCTTCGGTCCCGATGGGGAATTTGAAGCATCCAGTTGGCCGGGGCCCCTTCTGCGCGTTCCTCTGGACAGTTGAACGCGTCCGTCGCATCCTGTGAAAAGCACGACTGTTTATCCCGGGGCTCCGGAGCAACCCAAGCCAAAGGGTCCTCGTCGCTATGGGGCTCGTCTTTGTGATGGGCGGCTGGAATGTCGTCCTCGACTGAACGTGCCATTGTACCTGAAAAGCAGGGGAAGTTAGTGAATTCGACATTATCAAATTTACCCTTCCACCGCAGATCAAGTGAAAGGGCGACGAACTCGACCCAAGCCCTCAACATGTTAAAGCGGACAATTACATTCCAAGGACATGTAGTCGGGGGATCACTCGCCGAGCAAAAATACGGGATGCACACTAGCCTAAGGAGTCCTCCCCGACACTATAACATGAATGTTCATAAGTGCCCGACACATTCATGAGTGCTCGACACGGAACCCATGAACTCAAAAAAACATTCATGACTATTCGTCATAAAACTCATGAATGTTCATCCAATCAAGACAAATTTTTGGCATTTAATCCAGAAACGCTCAAGAAACATGGTGTTGAGAGGTTATAACTTACTTGGATGAAGAACTTGGAGGGAGA